ACTATCGCCTGGGGCCCCTGGGCTTCCTGAGCACTGGAGATGCAAACTTGCCAGGTATGGTTGCTGCTCCCTCTTCAGGGGACTGTTGTGGGTCCCCAGCTTATCAGCTTTGCTTTGTCCTTACTCAGTGGCAGGTGCTCTCTTGCTCAGGGAACTATGGGCTGAAAGACCAGCAGATGGCTATTGCCTGGGTGAAGAGAAATATCAAGGCCTTTGGGGGTGACCCAGAAAACATCACCATCTTTGGGGAATCAGCTGGTGCTGTCAGTGTCTCCCTGCAGGTTTGTTGTCCTTATCAGAGTCCTCCAGAGCCACTTCTTTTCTCTGCAGACAAGAGAAATGATCCCCTTGGCATTCTGATGCTTTCCTCCACACGTATCACCTGATTAACATCCTCTCCTGCTGAGGGTCAGCAATGCTCGGCCTCTTTGCTTTTTGGCTTCTCCTCCCTCTTCAGTTTAATCTATCCCACTGCTGTAGGGATGTGTCCTTGCTTTTGGGACCTCTGGTAAAATAGCATTTATTTGCCATAAGGCCCTACTCTGCTCTTCTTGTAATCATATCACCTTTTAACTGCTGAGACTGTTAAACAGGATGAGATCTGAGAGCTTTCCAGTGCCTGGTGCACAAGCTGTGAAGGGATCAGCCGGGTCTGGGACGTGATGATCTCTTTAGCAGTTTGCACCTGAAACCCTCTTGTTTCTATTTTGCACCACAGATGTTGACCCCAAAGAATAAGGGCCTGTTCAGGAGAGCCATCAGCCAGAGTGGTGTTGGTCTCTGCAGCTGGGCCATTCAGAAGAACCCACTCACCTGGGCTAAGAAGGTAACATGGAAGTCTTGCCTTTGGGACTGGAAAAAAACAGAAAACTGATTCTCCAGAGAAAGGCATAACTAGCCAGGGATTCAGCAGGAGCCATGGTGCCAAACTGAGCTTTGGAAACATGCTGTTTTGAGATTAAAACCAACCATTCCTCTGCCTCTGTGAAGCTGGTAATGAAACCTGTTTTCAAAAGGTAGTGCTAGGAGGTTTCTCTCTCTCCCCTGCTGCAGCTTGGACAAAGTGTGGGATGCCCCACAGACAACACCACCGCCTTAGCCAACTGCCTGCGCATCTCCAACCCCAAATCTTTGACACTGGCCTACCGTATGCAGCTGATCAACCTGCCCTGTAAGTCCTCCAGCCCATGCTATGGTGACTCCTCCACTCTTAGTGACCCAGGTCTCTCTATGCTTTTGGTGGGACATGGGCAATTGCCAGAAGTGTTGAAGCAGTGCTTGTGTCCTATAGAAAGGTACAATAATGACAGACCTTGCAGTGACCTTCTGCAGGCAGTTGCCCATTGGGCTGCATGAACACTGTCATCAAGCAATGTCAGCAGAGGCAGAGGCATTATTAAAGGGCTATGTCTTTAGCTCCAGAGCAACCATATGAGCTTTCTGTTCTGTGAAAGCAGCAAGAGCAATTCCAGAATGCAGCTTACAAAAAAAATAACTGACCACAACCCTGGGTCTCTGAGTCACTGGGTGGAGTGTAGGACTTGTACACCAAGTAGGGAATGCTTCTGGTTTTGTGCCTCTGGGGATTTCTTTCCCAAGAACACTGTCCTCCCCTTGCTCTCCTCACGCTCCTAGCAAATAGCTCGTGTTTAGGCTTGCTTGGGTCAGAGAGCAGCCACACAGTGGCATAGTGCAGCCACACTGGCTGGAATCAGCTGTCTTGACAATGAGTGAGCACAGCCAGGTGAGATGAGAAATTCTGCTCTTCCCCACCTTTGGCAGGGCTTTTTGGAAAGTGACTGCATGGAAGAGAGGAATTTTTGATGTTACCTGCTGGTACTTGGCTGGCAGATCTCTTGCTCGTCCCCCCCACCTACAGGCATGAAGTCCGCTGAATGCAATCCTGTGGTCACCCTGCTTCTGGGTGACATCCTGCCCATGCTGAAGTCACTGCCCAAGCTGTCATTCACCTCAGCCTATACCTTCTAGAGTTCTTTGAGTCATGGGATATGCCATGACTCACACATCTGTCTTTTCTCAGCTCCTAATGGACTCTCTTTTTGTCTTGTGCTGCAGCTCCTGTGGTTCACACACTTGCCCTCACTCCTGTCATCGACGGAGACTTCCTCCCAGACATGCCAGAGAACCTGTTTGCCAATGCTGCTGACATTGACTATATCGCTGGAGTTAATAACATGGATGGACACATGTTTGCTGGCATTGATTTACCTGTTATCAATCGCCCACTTGTGAAAATCACTGAGTAAGTGAAGGATGTACTACCTTCAAAACAGGATGTCACTCCAGGTTAGGGTGCCTAGGGCATATGGTGCCAAGTCCAGAGCCTTCAAAAGCAAGGGCCAGTTAGTGGAGAAGCTTCTCCATATTCCTTTAAGGTCCCCCTGAACTCAGCACCAGGGATAGGCTTAGCAGCCCTGATGCTCTCTGTCCAAAGCAGATACATGCCAGACATGCTAGGTGCCCACCCCGTGAGACTCCTCTTTGGGGATGAAAGGAACTTGTGGCCAATTTGCCCTCAGGCTGTGCTGCTAAGAAAGCTTGAAGCACATGCCCTCCATCTAAGACCTGGAATGAAATAACTGGCTTTTATTCCACCAAACCATCACTAACTGCAGGGTTGAATCTGAATGTCAGTGAGGGCTGGGATCCATTTCCATGAGCCCTGCCCCACTTGAAGCTGCTGGTCTGCAATTAATTGATACTACTTGTCTTTTCAGGGACGAGATCTATAATTTGGTCAAAGGACTTACTTTGGACAGGGGTGAGCGTGGAGCCAATGAGACCTACAGTGTCTACACACAAGCATGGGGCAAAAACCCAGAGCAGGAGGCCATGAAAAAGACAGTGGTGGACCTGATTACTGACTACATCTTCCTGATTCCCACACAGTGGGCACTGAATCTGCATCTGCAGAATGCCCGGTGAGCAGCTCAGCCCTGGCAGGAGCCCAAAGCCCACCTGGGAGCCAAAACACTGAGTTCCCAGCATTGGTTAAGAGAACTGAACTTGTAGGAGGCAGGCTTTTTGGTACTGAGTACACACTCACACATAGCTTGTATAAACACTATTTCTCTAATGCTGCAAAGCAGTCATGCTAGAAATTTGTTTAAAATTCCCATTACAACAAGTTTTTGCATCCTAACAACTTCACAATTCATCCTAGCAATGTTTAATGCCATGAGACTTGGCAGTTGGATGATATGAGGGTTAGGGTGAGAATCAGAAATGGAAGCTAAAACTTACCAGATAGAAAGATGTTTTCTCCTGAGACCACCTCTTAGGTGCATGTGAGCATCTTCCAAGGCTAAATCTCTGTCTCTGCAGGTATTTGGCGTATGGTTATGAATCTGCACACCTTTCTCTGCTCCCTACTTGCAGCTGTTTAGCAAGTCCATTTATTTCCTCAGGAGTGCCAAGACATACAGCTACTTGTTCTCCCAGCCATCCCGAATGCCCATCTACCCAAGCTGGGTAGGTGCAGACCATGCTGATGACCTGCAGTACGTGTTTGGGAAACCCTTTGCCACACCTCTGGGCTACCTGCCCAAGCACAGGACTGTTTCAAAGGCCATGATTGCTTACTGGACCAATTTTGCAAGGACAGGGTGAGTGATTCTGGTTCCACATTTGCTGCAGCACTTCAGCCTGCTCCCTTTGCCTATTAACTTCTTAGGAGCAATTCCCAGAAGCTAGTTGTCCTCTGTCTGTACTTCCGATGTGAGCCTGGCTCTGTTTCGCAGTGGTGGAGTTTGCTCTGGGTCCTTCTGACCCAGAGAACACCTGGGGACAGCAGAAGCATTTTCAGGATTTGTGAATTCTACTTCAAACTTAATGATGAGGTTTGTTTCCAAGTCCTGGTGTTCAGACAGGAGTTAAGCTGCTGCATGCTGCCAGGGATGATGCTAGTGGGGACTAAGGGGGGAGGCTGCAGGTCACCAGGTTGCTCTTAGCAGGCAGAATTGCTATTGCTTGTCTCAGTGTCCAACATGTTCTTTGCACTCACTTAAAGCCTCACCTGAGCAGAGAGCATCCCTGCCAAACAACTCAGACCTTGCTGTATCCACAAGCTGCCCTAATATAAATGCATTTCTATGTCTTTTCGCCCAGTGATCCTAACAAAGGGAATTCAGAGGTGCCCATTACCTGGCCACCCTATGCCAGTGAGGGCAGTTACTACCTGGAAATCAACAACAAGATGAACCAAAACTCTGTGAAGCAGAATCTGAAATCCCAGTATGTGAACTTCTGGAACTCTGTCTATCGGAATCTGCCACTGGCTGCAACATCACCATGAGGAACTGCTCAGGAGCAAAGGGAAAAAACCAAACCAACTTCTTAAAGAGATACCCCATTCATTAAAAGCTTGCTTGTAACTGAGCAATTCTGTTTTCTTCATGTCTTTGCTGTGACAGGATTTTCTCCCCAGTGTTCAAGTGACATCCACCCTTTGGGCAATGTGTGTTCCCCTGACCCTGTTACACTGCGATGTGACAGGGAAGCTGCTGACACAAGAGCCACGGCTCCCTCTGCACCAAGCAAGCACTTGGCAGGGTTTGCTTTACCTCATCACCTGTGTGATTGCTGACTGGACAGCATTAATCCAGTCCTGCCCTCTCAATATCCCCACGTCACCATCAACATCCATGCTAATTACAAGCACCTCTTAGATAATTACAGCGGTAATATATATGAACGCAAGCCAGTTGGTGAACTATCACCGTATGTGCACACAAATCGGCTCAGAAGCTCAAAGGGGGCAAAAAAAAGCCAAAGGAGGATGTTGCGACGCACAGCCTTGTGAGGAGAGGCCGGACTGGGGAGTCCGGCTCCGGGCGCGAGCAGAGGAGGAGTCTGAGCCCGGCGGCGCTCGCTCAGCACCAACCACCGCCATCGGGACCGCCCCGGCCTCGCGCCGCCGCCGTAGGAACCCTCCTGCGGCGGAACTTTAGTTCTGGGGTCAGGAACGACTGCCGGGATCTACCCGGGCTGGGAGCCATGGCGGAGTGCGGACGGCTGGGAGAGCCGGGCTCGGCCGTGCTGGAGCTGCCCCGCACGCCGCGGCTCGTGTGCGTGGAATACCCGGGGCTGGTGCGGGACGTCGGGGCCATGCTGCGGACGCTGGGAGGAGAGCAGGGGGTGTCGCGGGTGAGGGGACCCCGGAGGAGGGTGGAGGTGATCCGGGCCGAGGGTCTGTGGGGGAGGGAGGCCAGCCCAGGCGCTGGGGAGGGGCCGGGGGGCAGGGAGCCGCCCCTTGGGGGATCGCTCTGTCCGGCTGTCCAGGCCCTGCATGTGCCCGCGTAGGCTCCACGCGTGGCTCCGGGGGAATGCCGCTCGTCTGCCCGGCTGCAGACCGGGAGAGAGGCGGCGGGAGGTGCCGGCCAGGGCGGCGTCCACCCGGAGCGCTGCCGGCCCTAGTGGGGCAGCGATTCCTGCCCCTGAGGCGGTGTGGGCGCGTGGGGCTGGTGCCAGAGGCCCGAGGAGATGGGCTATGCAGGTGCGATGCTGACGGAGAGTGTGCCTGGCCTTGCTGACAGATCTATGCGGACCCCGCCAAAAGGCTGGAGCTGTATTTCCGCCCCAAGGACCCCTACTGCCATCCCGTATGTGCCAATCGCTTCCCCACCTCCACCCTGCTTCTGAAGGTGAAGAGGAGGACCAAGAAGAAGAAGCAGTTGGATACCAAAGAACAAATCCAGCCTGAAGTCCAGTTTGAAATGGAAATTCTTGGGACTGTTGTGACTGTTTACAAATTTCAAGGTATTACTTGCGTTTGTGTCCACGTGGCTTAAAGACAAAGTATGTCTGATGGGAAAGAGAAGTGTTTCCCTTTAAACAATTCAGGACTGAAAGGAAAATCAAGTGTCCTGTTGTTATAGCCTACTTGCTGTGTAAACCTTTGCATAAATTTGTCAGACGCCTGCTCATGTAAGTTGAGTGTTGTGAGAAATACTGTCATATTCACAATTAACTTTACAATGTTTTAACTTCTGTTTCTCACAGGAATGTCTGATTTCCAGTACCTGGCAATGCACTGTGGTTCTGATGGAAAACAAACTTCTATGTACAACAAAGTCCTAATGCTCAAACCAGAGAAGGAAGAATTTTTCAATAGAGAGCTACCACTCTACATCCCACCACCAATTTTCTCACGTCTGGACACTCCCATTGACTATTTCTATCGGCCAGATATACAACACCGGTTAGTGCCTTTTCTCACAATGTAGCATATAACTGTACTGGTTCTGGAATAGACAGGTAGTGAAATGATTTGCTGGTTTGATATACACTTCTACTTGAGGTATAACCACTTGAAGACGCCTCCAATCCATTCTGACTTGACTGTTATTATAGGATCTCTGCTCTCGAAACATCAGAGCAGAACTAAATACATAATTCATGTATTTCTCCTGTTTAAGCTGATGCCTTAATCTGTTTTACCCCTCTTGATTTGGCACAGCAGAAGCAGGCACCCTTCAGAAACTGCCTGGACAGCAGAAACCCCAGCAAAAGTCCACTTGAGACCTTGCCAGGTGAGGGGAGCTGGTGATCTGGGTGAAGATGATGGCCTCCCCCAGCGTGCTCCTGGAAGCACGGCATGCAGTGAGCCTGGCTTTCTGCCTGCTTCCAGCGGGCTGGAACCGAGGGGGAGCGTGCAAGAGTCAGTGCCATGTGTTCCTGTGACTGTGCTCACTGGACCTGTTCCCTCTTGGTCACCAGTTGGCTTTGCCAGAAGAACAACCTGTGAGCTCTCCCACAAAAAGCATATTTTGGTTTCTCACCGTGCTCCTTCATTGGCACTTAAAAAAATATATATAGATATCTTAACTGCGTTTCCATTTTGCCTGGTCTATGTACCTACCAAGCTGCAGTAGCTAGAGTAGCAAATGCAGAGTGTGAAGCCTTTTGTGCTCCTAATGCATTTCATACAGAGCAATGGGGTAATTCCCCAAACTTTCCTCAGTGGTGTCACAAGATTCCTTTATGGTACCAGTATGTGATAGGGAGGTGGGGTGAGAGACAAACTGACCCATTGCTCACTCAGCTGAGTCCCTTCTCTTCCAAAATCTTGAGCACAAGCTTCCATTTTCACATGTTTCTTGTCAAGGCCCCAGGTCTGTGTGTGTGCCACAGGCAAAAAGGAGACCTGATCCTTTCCCTGTTTCTTAGGGAAGGATACAACAATCCCCAGGTGTCTGGTGAGAACCTGATTGGCCTCAGCAGGGCCCGTCGCCCACACAACGCTATCTTTGTGAACTTTGATGACAAAGAGGTCCCTGCTAAACCACTGGATGCTGCTGTACACACCTGGAAGAAAGTGTGCACAAATCCTGTGGATAAAAAGGTGGAGGAAGAGCTGAGAAAGGTACGTACGTGCCTTACTCCTGGGCTGAGCGCTGTACTGTGTACAGCATACTGTGAAGGAAGAAACTGCATGCAGCCATTTTCTCTGATCTCCCCAAAAAATCTTGGTGATTGTAACTGACTGATATAGCAAGTGTCAGTAGACACCACTGACATCGCTGTGTTCAGTTCAGTTGTACATGTCAAGAGTTGAATGTTTTTGCAGCCAGCTCACATGAAGTTCCTTTTTCTGCCACTAGTTCTTGCATTACCATTTTGGTAGCCAAAGACCCCAGCACAGAAAAAAGTCCACTTGGAAAGCTGAACTGCCATTGTTACTTCCCACTGTTCCATGGTTGTTTTTGTATTATTTTAGCTCTTTGAAGTCCGTCCTGTCTGGTCTCGGAATGCAGTGAAAGCCAATATCAGTGTCCATCCAGACAAGCTGAAACTTCTTTTGCCATATTTGGCCTATTACATGGTAAGTGTGTATAGTTGCCCTTGTGCCTGAGGCTGCTGGGAGGCAGAGCAAGGAAGCATCAGCTGGGTGTTCCTGGCTCTTTAGCATTTTTTGAGGCCCTACCACCAAAGTACCTGTGCTTAACCTTATGTAAAGAGAATGCTGGAAGGAAAGCCTAGCTTCTGAACAGAAGTTAAAGCTGTGGAGGATTCAGAAACTGTTCACATTATTGGTTCTAATCAGCTCTGCAATTCAGTCAGACACTCGACTGTTCATCTGGCATAGATAGCAGATTTTTTCCAAGCAAACACTTTATGGTGACCTTGCAAGTCAGTTTGTAAAAGCACACAAATATTTGTGCTTCGATGCATTGACTGACTGAGTTTCAGTAGATAAATATATATTGTTGTGGCAAGTGAGGAAAGGTCTGGTAAAAGAAATAACCTTTGGAAAATGAGGGGAAATACTAAAATTTTTTAAGACCCTCTGCAACACTGTACTGAAGAAATTATGCAACACTGTCCTGGTTTTATTGTAACCATCTTCCCGCATGTGTGTTTGTACAGTTAACAGGTCCTTGGAGAAGCCTATGGGTTAGGTTTGGGTATGACCCCAGGAAACACCCTGAAGCAAAGATTTATCAAGTACTGGACTTCCGAATTCGCTGTGGAATGAAATATGGTAAAAACACCCAACCCACAGAGATGCTCTCTCTGCTTTCTGATTAATCCTGATAGTACTTTTCTTTTTACTTGTTTTTCACACTCTTTTGCCATATTTCTGCTCTGGTGAAGATGATTCCTTTTGAGCTCATTGCTTACTAGTTATTCCATATATTCCTTTAATACATTTATTTTATAGTAGGCAATCGTCTTTCCTCATTTGGCACATTCCAAACTCAGTGGACTGACTGTATAGTCAGCTGGATAACTTTTCTCCTCCATGAATTCCAATCCCAAGTAGATGTAGCAGACCATCTTCCCTCTCACTCAGGAGAGGCACTGAGCAATACATTCTGTTACTTACCTTGTAGCTTTCCCTCGAGGAACTCAGGAAGGACCTCATCTTGTGTGGGATGCTCAGTCTCAGAGCTTTCTGAGGTCAGTCCATGGGAAAGCTAGCATCCAGTCATTGCCATCACATGTTCCAATCTAAATGGTTTTATAGATGTGACAGCTCTCCTCTCCCCACCTTGCTAACATCACAGTAGCCCAAGGATCACCCTGCCTTTTGCACACTAGCCCACCACTTCTGTTACTGAGCTAGGGATATTCTGCAGCGTGCTTACCCTCTGTTCATTATTGGCTTTCTCTTTTCGCCTCTAGGTTATGCCTCTAATGACATGCCTGTGAAAGCAAAACGCAGTACATATAACTACAATTTGCCCATCACCGTCAAGAAGCCTGGTATGCTGTGCCTGCAGAAGGGCTTTCTGGCTCTTTTGTTTGTTTAGTCTATCCTAGTGCCAGCTGGTGAAGGGTCTTCCCGTGTTCTACCTGAGCCAAAACCGGAGCTTTATTTCTGGTTATAATGTGGTGTTGCTGTTAAGCCAGTAGAATAATCTCCTTCTCAGAAGTGTTGTGAGAGTCTCTGGTGCATGCCTGGCTGAGCCACAGTATCTGGTAGCAGACAAGGGAGTTCTGCCAGCAATACTGAGGGAATTCAACATTCACTTCAGTGGTGGTGCAGAGTAAGGGGAGAGGTTTCTGTTTTCTTTGTCAAGGAACAGTAGAAGAAGTTAAAATTCTGAACAAGTGTGCTATGGAAAAAGCCACCAAACTTGCCACTGCTCCTGTGCCTGTCTAGAAATGTCTTTGAAGAATGAGTAACACATGCTCAGGTGCTGGCTTAGTCTGGTTTTTGCTGACCAGCAAAGTTGAGTCAGCATAGAGAAATGATAATACAATGCCACAGGATGAAAGATGTCCCTAATTAGGACTCTTTTCTTGTCTTTCAGTAAGTCACACAGTCAGTGTACATGATCTGAAACAGGGGCTAGGTACATCCAGTGCCCCTGGTGCAAAAAAGACTGCCTCCAGTAGGTATAAACTGAAGGTAACTATTACTCTCTTTAACAAGAATCTTAAATAAAAAGTGTTGTTTACCATTTTGTCAGTCAGTGAGGGAACAGTTGTGGGTGAATTGATGTCCTCAGATTTCCTGGGAAGCTGCTAGTTATACACATCACTACAGAATTTCACCTGCTGTGCATTGAATGTATTTCTGCAAAATGGCAGAAATGTATTTCTGCAAGACTAGGCAAGCCCTAGTCTTAGATGATGTCATGAGCATTTTGTTTCAATTGATAAAACTGGTACTTTGTGATCAGCGAAATGCAAAAAAATGGCCATGTATTTATCAAGTTGTCCTACAAACCAGGAGTCTTTCGTTCTTCCCTTTTTGTTAGAATGAAACCTATGAGCCACTGTTAAACAGTAACAGGCTGCACAGCTGCAGTTTGAGAGATGAAATAAGTTCTCTGCACAACTGTGATGCTGTTGACTGTTGCTGCAGTGAAGTTTTGCTGCATTCGGAATTCAGCTTTATCTTTTATCATATGCAGCCCTGTGCCTTGGAACTGATTTGCATTGGAAGCACCTTGTTCTTGATTCAGCCCACTGGAAGTACTGATCGGTTATGCCAAAGTTGTCTTGTTGCACCATAAAAATGCACATTAATCTTTTCTCCTTCTTTCCTCCTCTTAGGAATCCATTTATATTTTCCAAGAAGGAGCTTTACCCCCTTATCGGCAGATGTTCTACCAGCTCTGTGATTTGAATGTGGAAAGGTATTGCACACTGGCAGCTGAGTCTTCTGTTAGAGCTGGATTTCAAAGCCAGCATAGAATCATAAAATGGTGTGGAAAGGACCTTAAGATCATCTAGTTCCTCTAGCTCCAACCTCCCTGTCATTGAAAGGGATGCCTCCCACTAGACCAGGTTGCTCAAGCCCCATCCAACCTGGCCTTAAACACTTCAGGGATGGAGCATTCACAACCACCTTGGGCAGCCTGTGTAAGCACCTCACCACTCACAGTAAAGAATTTCTTCCTTATATCCTACCTGAACTTCCCCTGTTTCAGTTTAAACCCATCACTCCTTGTCCTATCACTACAGTCCCTGTTAAAGAGTCCCTCCCCACCATCCTTGTAGCCCTCTCCAGGTACTGGAAGCTGCTCTGAGGTCTCCACACAGCTTCTCTTCTCCAGGCTGAACAGCCCCAATTTTGTCAACCTGTCTTTAAACAGGAGGTGCTCCAGCCCCTGATCATCCTTGTGGCCTCCTCTGGACTTGCTCCAACAGCTGCATGTCTTTCTTATGTGAGGACAGCAGAACTGCACCCAGTGCTGCAAGTGGGGTCTTACAAGAGCAGAGCAGAGGGGGCAGGATCACCTCCTTCAACCTGCTGGTCATGCTCCTTTTGATGCTGTTCAGGACATGGGTAGTTCTTGCGCTCAAGTGCACACTGAAGCAACTCATGTTCAGTTTCTCATCAACCAGCATACCCAAGTCCTTCTCCTTAGGCTGCTCTGAATCACTTCTCCACCCAACCTGTAGCTGTGCCTGGGATTTTCCCTATTGTTTATAGCCAGTCCATTTCCCTCTCTCAGCCATAGATTTGAGAGGTGTTTAGCTTCATTAAAATAGAACAGACTTTTCACACATGAACTTCCTGTCTCATATGACAATTACCCAAATAAATACAATATTACAACTCAATGAAATAAAAGGGAAGTAAGCCATAACCTGCCTCATTTGAAGCCTGTATCTGAAAGTAGAGGGCTAACATTTCCTTCTCTTTTGCTGCTTTTTAGGCTACAGAAAATCATCCATCGTAATGATGGCACGGAGTCAGAATGCACAGAGCGGGATGGGTGGTGCGTTCCAAAGACTAGCGATGAGCTGCGAGATACCATGTCTCTGATGATAAAGCATATAATCAGATCCACAAGACCTGGTAGGGATGCTTCTGAACATCAAAGTGTATTACTGTCTTACTACCTACTACTACTATTGGGAATAGCTGGAAGTAAAGGTCGTCTGTTTCATCTTCCCAGTGTCACAGCCTTCAGGTTTTATATGTCTTTGCACAGTGAAAATCAAGATCCTATTCTTAATGATGTATCTGCTGGTGGCATTTTACTTTTTATTGATGTTATTAATCAAACAACAAGCAAGGAAATTATTTTTGCATGCTGAGCCAAAGCAGTATCCCAGTGAGAGAGATCAGAATCAGCTGGGAGAAGAGGCACAGCACTGCAGATCTGCCAGTGTTCTGCTAGCATTTCTGGAGTATGGAAACAGACTGCTTTGGGCTTAATCAAATTCTGTTAAGATGTGAAATAGTAGCTGTGCCCCTCCAGCCTCTGCCTTCCTCTCACACGTTTTAAGAACTCTACTGCAGATGTCCACAAGTTTCGCTGAGAGAGGCATCACGGTGTCTTTCTTTCTTCCCAATTAAGCTCTTTTCGCAAATAAAAGAAGCAGTGAAGATAGCGAAGAGCAGCTGGCATATGAGTCTGCAGAGGATGAGGATGATGAAGAGGAGGAAGAGGACTTCAAGCCTTCTGATGGGAGTGAAAATGAAATGGAGACAGAAATTCTGGACTATGTGTGAACTCAGGGAGCAGTCTGGCTGCTGCTAGACTAACACTGTCTCTGTTGTTGGACCCTGAGAGCTGAGGGTTCAGCAACCATGCCCAGGATGTGGGAAAGCAGAACTTGTACTAAGAGGATGATGAGCTCTCTGCACTAACTGCGGTGCTTGCTGATGGCTGTCGTCCATTCGTGATGTTAGGGAGCATTACCTGTATTTTCATAACTGCTGGCTAATAAGTCCTCAAGTAAAGCTCAACAAACTCCTAAGACAGAGCCCAGAATCCAAACCAGCTGGTAATATACCAGAAGAGAGGAGAGGTCACATACCCAAATGTTTCCATGTGTAGGAAGTGCACTTTAACTGGCTTGGTGTCCACATGGAAAACAGGGAATGTACATGAGGACAGAGCACTCTAGTCTTACTGGAGTCTCCAGGGCAGGTGCTGCCCTTCTGCTTGTCTAAGGGGAATGAAAACCCTGGGCCATGACTTGAGCATCAGACCTCACTGGTGATCTTGGAAATAAAGCCAGCAGGAAAGAACACTTTCCGGCAGTGAGTAACTCCTTTGCACAGTATGTAGTGTATGTTGTCCTCACGAGCCAGTGTGCTTCTCAAGCCTGTTTTGACTTCTCTGGTAGTTAGCAGAGACAGAAGGATGCATGCAATGGAGCAGAGCTTCAGGTCCACAGAGGCTGGCCACTTCTTAAGTCTGCCACTGCCAGCTGGATTGGTACCACTCTATCACAGAAATTAAGGATCTGCTGGCATTTTTGGAGTCTTGTGTGTTACGAGTACAAGGTTTCTCATTAGTTGCCTATAATACACTCTACTGCATGTTCAGTGTGTTTTGAGACTCTTGCGCTTGTGTGAGGCTTCTCAAAGCTTCAGCTTTTATGATGTGCTCTGGAGTTTTGTTAGGCTGAACTATTTCCTTAGGTTTGGCTTCCAGCCCACAAAAGCAGCATCTGCAGGGCTCTCACACTGTGACACATAGCTGTGCTGCTGAGTATCTAGCATATGTATTTACCTATGCATCTATCCCCATAGAAGCTGCATTTGAGGACTCAGGTGTGTGCTCATCATGGCATACTGGGAGATCCTGTGTTTTGCTTTGTGCTTCTACCTCAGGGTAGCACAGGCTGCCTCTGTAGGTACAAAGGCATTGTTACAGCTTTAAGATGGGGGGGCTGCACATCTTGTTCTGTCTAGTGACACCTCCAGCCAAGGTAAGTTGTAGGTCCTGCCCATGTGGGAATTCTGAGGCACAAGCGGCTGTGCAATGGAGTTACGCTTGTCAGTGCAGCACATCATGGCACAAAGAAGAAAAGGAGAGATGCAGTGGACGTAGTGCTGCCATGTAAGAATATGTGCTCAGATATTAGCAAGCATCACGAATAAACATTCTTGGAAACACTGCGAAAAACACAAGCTTCCTATGAGCAGGAGGCCCAAAGCCAAAGGAGCCAGCAGTCACTTTTGCCAGAGTTCATTTAGTTTCCTGACATTTTCAAAATTTCCCTGTATTGGAAGGCTGTAGCAATTTGGGTGTTTAATTCTGCCTGAGCAGGTAACAGCATTACCAGTCCTGAATGTGCAATGCAGTCCTTTCATTTCCAAAAGCTTAGGCCTTAAATGGATCTATACAGCCACAGGCACAGCAAAATTCTTGATCATGCTGCTGCATCCTTAATATCCATGCTCTGAATCAACACACTATCCAAGTAATATTCACTGCTGTTTGTGCAGTTACAGAAGATAAACATGCTGGCCATGCTAGGAAATGAGCCCTTGAGCACCAGAAGAATGATGCCTCAAACCAAGGCAGACCACTGTATCCAAACCATAAGGACCAACCACTGCATTTGCTCTTAAAGCCATTGCTTATATTGAAGGCACATCCAGTAAACTGGACGCAACCAGAAAATGCAAAAGTCCCAGCTACTCACAGGTTCAAATGAATAGGTTTCATTTGAAAATCAGGTATTGGTCCCTCAAACAAAAAGCCTGTATCTTACTTCAAATACAAAATAAAGCTCAGCTCAGCTGAGTTAATGTAAGGTAGTAACCACCTTCCCCACAGTTAGGCCTACTCTTCTTTCTCCAGGAACATGCCAGCATTTTAGGGAAGGAGGACAAGACAAGCTCTGCCCTGCGACAGAGACATTTGAACATCAGTATTTTACTGCAAAGATTAAGTACATTGCTGTGTACAAGACACACCGGGGAGTGTGCTCCTTCACTGAAGTGGTACAAAATACATACGGTACAGCCAGTCCATCCGATGACACTGGGCTGCTGCGGGACACTAGTGGGAGGGGGACCAGCATGGCCCCAGGGTGGGCAGGAGCTGGCAGCATAGAGCAGAGGGAGGACCCTGGGTGCTGGTGCCCAAGGGCTGGGTTTTGAGCAGGGTGGGAGGCACAAGGCTGCCCCTGTGTCAGGGACCCATGGGCTCCCATCATGTGCAGAGATGTGCAATGCCACCCAAGGGGATAGAGGGCTGGGAGAGCACACTGCCAGCAGCCCCGGCCCCTGGAGCGTGGCCATTCAGCCTTGCTGCATCCCCAGGTGCTGCAACCCCCAGGAGCACGGAGAGAGGGAAACGGGAACAATACACTGGAAGGAAGCACGCTGAAAAGAAAAAAAAGGGATGGAGGCAGGAGTAAAAAATGGTCCCCTTTGGGTTAGTGTTTCCTACAGCGATTAAAACAAGCATCTCTGCTCCTGCTTGGATGGTAGAAAAACAAGGGAGGGGGTGGCCAGCAGTGTCTGCACCCCATGAGCATGGCAGAGAGACTCTGCTGCTATCACTGTCCCTCCAGGCATCCTTAAATACCAGGGTGGGGAGAGGGACTGGACTGCAGGGCAGGCAGAGGCTGGATTAGTAAAATGTACAAGTTTGACTCTTCTATTTACAACCAATAAATACTGGGCGGGGGGGGGGGGGGGGGGGGGAATCAGTAAACTATTTTGTTTTATACAAAAGAAGTCTCAGTGCTGCTTCTCCCATGGTCAGTGTTTGAAAAAGTCTGGTTGAAGCCCAAGGCGAGTGGCACTTTCTGTGGGCAACAGCTGGGGCACCAGGAGCTCTGGCTCCTCACCTGCCCATGCAGACCCGAGGTCCCTATTTACACGAGTTCAAACAGAATTTTGCTCTCCTCCTCGTGGGCTGGCAGCACTTGGGGCACAACCCAAAGCTTCCCCCGATGGCAGAAGAGACACTGGTGTTTGATCTTTGGTGCAAGTTTGAACACGGGCTGTGAAAGTCTGGCTGAGGACATGCTGGACTGGGGAGAGAAGAGAGACCACGCAGGCTTTCAGTTGTTGAGAGTATGAGGCACCCAATCCATCATGGCATGGACACAGCCCTCCTCCACAGGGCTCCAAGCATCGGTGCAGGGCTGCATCCTTTCCAGCTCACTTCCCAGACCAGGGCATCCACAGCTTCTCCCAAAGGAATGACAGGCAGAGAAGTGTGGCAACAGTGATGCCAGTTATCCCGTGGAGGAAGGACATGGAGGTAAAACAATGCCAGGAAAATGGGAAGAAGAGCACCCCACCATGTGCTTGTGCTCTACTCCTTGCAAATGGCCCCTCTTGTGAGTCACTACTCCCTGGCTTGCTCGGACACAAGGCACCTACGGCAGAGGCAAGCTCCAGACAAGGGCTGCCCAGTGGCTGGGCTGGACTAGTGTCACACCAGGCGGGAGGGGAAGAGAAACAGAGAGAGTGAGGGGGGAGAGAGAGAGAGGCCCCCATCCTGCTGTCTTCCTGTGCAGAAACAAGGACCCAACTGAAACGGACCGAGGTCGACACCGGCTGCTGAAGTGCCCAGCTCTTGGTGCAGGAGGGTGAGGCACAGTGGGACCTGTGGGCAAGGACCGCTGCTCTTGCCTTGCCAGGCAGCACAAGGGCCGGCTGCAGCCAAGGCTGGATCAGCATGCCCCAAAAGCCCCGCTGGTGATGGGTGGCAGTGGGGCTGAGGCTAGAAGATCCCTTTGGCGATCTTCAGGCCTTTCTGCTTCATCCTGGGCAGGGTGGAGCTGGAGCCATGCTTGATCTTCACTCCCTTGGAGAAGCCCCTCTTCTTGAGCACAAAGTCATAGTTGGCAGCAGAGTTCATGGCATAGAAGACATTGGCATTGTCGGGGATCTTCAGCTCTGGAAATGACCAAGGATGGGGGTCAGTTGGGTACCTTTCCCTGAAGGGGGGGCAGAGTGGGGCTGAGAGCTGTCCCCAGGTACTGACACTTCCAAGTCTAGCTTCCAAGCCAGGCTTCAGAGCTTCATGGCTGGCTGAGGATACAGACCCCAGGAAAGCCCCCACACCCCAGGACACACCTCTCTCCTCTGAGATGATCTGAACGAGCTCATAGTCTTCAGGCCTGTCCCCATCCAAGTTGTGTTTCGCCATGGCCTTGCGAATAACAACTGGGGTCTTATCCTGGCTTGTCACCTGAGAGCAGAGAACATTATTAACCAAGGAGTGCAAAACACTGCAAAGCCTCTCACTATGGCCTACCCCCAAAATGGGCCCTGCCCACAACCAAGTGGGGTGAGCCACCCTTTCCTGGCATCACCACACGCGCCCTGCACTAACCAGGATGCTCTTGTACATGTTGCCGTTGTCCACAGCCAGGCTGACACGGATGATGCAACAGTCATCGACCTGCTGGTTGTAGAGGGGCAGCGAGAGGGAGGAGTAGCTAGAGATGCCAGAGACTGAGCGCTTGTGGGTACGGGAGGCCGTCACTGGCGTGGAGGAGACTGAAGAGGACGAGGCACTGCTGGAGCCTGAGCCAATGCCTGATGTGTCCAGGGAGGAGAGGGACGTGGATTCCCAGAACTGGAGGGCAGGGAGGAGAGGGGATGCGGAGGACACAGCGGGTTTAACTTCTCCATTGGCCACAGACAGGGCGTACCAGCGCTGGGGGAGGGAGGCCAGAGGGATCTCACTGACCTGTGACAACAGGGGACTGACATGACTACAGTCACCAGAGGTGCAAGAGCCTTGCCATTCCAGTGGAGCAGCAAAGGGGAGGGGCCTCCCTCACCCCAGCGGGTCAGAAACAACCCCTGGGAACCCCCCAGACCCAGTGCCAGCACCAGTGCTGGGGCAGTTCCCACACAATAGCCACACCTGCCTCCAGAGGCCCGGACCCCATGAGCTGCCCCATACCTTCTTCTCCTGGCAGTCGGGGGACTCAGGGATGAAGCTGATGTTGATCTCCTCCACATCGGAGCTGCTGGAGCCAGCGGAGGTGACGCTCACTGAGTCAGTGGCATCCCCACTGCACAGGTACTGCCCACACTTGAGCTGATCGAAGGATTTTGAGTGGGAGCTGCTGCTGCTGCAGGGCTCGGTGCTTGGTGGCTGCCGGCTGCCAGGAGAGATGCAGGGCAGGTGAGAACAGGGCAGAGCAGGTGTGCGCTTGGCTGGCATGACAGCAGCCACCCCCGCCTGGCTCCCTGCAATGCCAGTGATGCCCCACATTTGCCCCTGTCTCCAGGGGACAAGCAGACTCACTCGCTCCATCGCTTGATGATGCCTGTGTTTTTCTTTGCTTTCAACGTGTTGCTGGCTGACTCTGACAGTGGCTCAATCTCACATGACAACCCGTAGCTAGGAGGGGAAAGATGAGGGTTTGAGTTCTCCATGCTGCCACGGCTGTGGAGAGGAGGCAGCGCAGACACTGGAGCATGGGGCAGCTGCTGCTCATTAGCTGAAGGAGACCAGGAGTGGGACCTCCCCATACACCAGCAGCAGCACAGCCTTAGTCCCCTGTCACACTCACCTCTCAGCCTCACTGAGCCGCTCCAGGCTGTGGAACCAGTCCACGAACTGGTCCTCCCGCGTGAAGCTGTAGTTGTTGCAGGCTGACTGAAGCAGCTTGATCTGAGCAATGACTTCAAACTCCTGCAGTAAATAGAGGCGATGAGTCCAGACCTGTTTGCCAGCCACAGTCTTCTCCAAAACAGGCCAGCCCCATGTACGGAGGCAGATGTGAAGGACCAGAATCCTTCTCCCCAAAAATGAAGGCATGACAGCAAAACAGGAGAGGAATTGACCCCGAAGAGACTGGCATAGCCTGGGCTAGCACCAAGTCAGCCTCCTCCTTCCACCCTGCTGTGCTGCAGACTGGGAAAAGCTCTCACCTTCCTTCTCTTCTCAAAGTTGATCAGCCCACCCTGGAAAAGAGTGAGCCAAATGTCAGTGTGGAGCAGGCAGAAAAATACTGCTCTCATCCCCCCCTCCACTACAGTGCCTGTGTCCCTGCTGAGAGGCAGCGTGAGACTGGCCCATTTCCACGTGCTGACAGAGGTGGATGTGCAATGTTGAATATAGGATGTGCAGGGTGCAGTGTCAGATGTAGGATGCACAGGGAACAAGCCCTCCTTTCATCAGCCCAGCCTCTGAGGTTGCTGTGTGGAGAAAGAGAGGAAGGGGAGAACAGAGATGGAGGGACATACATCCAGGAAATCCTTCATGGCGGTGTCAAGCATCACCAGGTCCGTGAGGAAGGTACCAAGGTAGGGAATGGTGCCCTGCATCACACCCTGTGGGGACAGAAGGGACAGCGAGGTCAGCAGAGAGCTGGGACCACCCTAAGCAGCTGCCAGGGAGGGGGCATAGGGGCACCTGTGTCAGACTCACCATTTCTCTCTGCTGCTGCTGCCGCTTCTGAGCCCTCTTCGGATTGATCTCCAAGGTGGCAAATTTGGATGTGCCTTCCTGGATGGTGGGGAGAGGTGGAGATCAGCGCGGGTGGGAACCTGCACTAATAGATGAGCTAAAATTCACACCCGCTTTCATTTGTACAACCTTCCTTGCAGAGGAAAAGAGGGATGAAGGGGAGGGGAAGAAATCAAACCTGAGATTTTTCATGGCTCACAGAGAGGAGCAGCTTAGTGAACAGGAACTGCTGATCCCACTTCCAGCTCTGTATAAACCTTCTCAATGGAATGGTTTGTTCCTTTTTGCATTTTGTGTCCTCTCAGCCCCCAAACTGTGAAGCTGCAGAGAGGCTCCAATGGGAAGAAGGACAGTTTTGCTGCATCCTTCCACAAACACTACAACCCCACCGGACATCAAGAGGATTTCACACTGTGCTGTTAAAATGCAGCTCCTTCCTGGGAGAAGCTGTCACCTGACGCACTGGATCCTATCCCACTGCTTATCTCTGCTTGCTGAGTATTTCTCTGCAAGCTGCAGACAG